GGGTTTAATATTTTTCCTAGAACTTTTTTTTTTTTTTTTTTTTTTTTTTTTTTTTTTTAAAAAAAAAAAAAAAAAAAAAAAAAAAAAAAAAAAAAAAATCATCAGCTTGGTAGCAAAATTTCAATACATTTTCACTTATTCCCCAAAAACCTTCAATTTATGACACTAACAGAGTTGACACACAGCACTAGCAGCAAAGCTTAAATCTCTCTGGTGAAACACTTTGGGTCTTTATCAAAATACTGCCAAAGCCAGCACTACCTCCTGTGAGGGAACTCACAGGAGAGTCAGTCCAGGGTGAAGTCCAAACACAGCATGGAGATTACTTTGCACCAGAGGTCTGAATTACTGCTTATTCAGACAGAATTCTGCAGTCCCTTCATGGCATGTCTCTCTCCCTTTCCTCCATCAGGGAATGCTTTGCCATGACACAAATCAAACTCCTGAACTCTACATTGCAAATCAAAAATTAAGACAGCTTAAGGCATATAATTTGGGTTATGATTTGCAATATTCATTAAGAGAACAGCCAATTCTGGCAATGAAAAAATGCCCTGAGCTACGATAATGAATACAGGGTTTGTTACAGCAACAAGACTGATGGTCTCATCCATAATGATTTGACAGTGGCTGCCTTTATATGGTACCTTGTTTTGATTTTCATATCAATAATTATATTATGTGCCTCAAAACATCTCGCTGGCTGGCCGACTTGATGCATGTTAAAACCATCCTGTCTGTGGATATGCATTGGTATAGGAACTATTACAGGATCACATAACAGATGTCATGAGCAGCAATGATTCTTCAAAATTCTGTGCTACACCAGGGCCAAGGAGCGCCCTCTGTGGTCCCTTCTGCCCTTAGAAGTTATGACTTGAATATGTGAACCGAGCCTCCCAATGCCAAATGAATGCACGAGTGCTAAAACTCCTCTTTGTGCTTTTCTCCAACAGCTTCCCCAAGACACAGAGTCAACACCCGAGTTAGCACTCGCTGCATGGTGTCACCTCCTCACTGAACACAAAGTAGAGAAAGAATTTCTGCTGCGCAATGTCCTGGCAATTCCTGGCTAGTATGGTCATGCTGGGTTTTAACTTTCAAATGAATTGCGCTTGTCTTTGGGCTGTGAGGGTTCACATAGCTGCCCGTTCCAGGAATGTTGCATTTACTACTTCATGTGGGGCCTCAAGTACACATGAGCCAGCCTTTAACTAGGACGACCTGTCAAAAACACTGCCATGGATTTGGGTGGCTTTTTCTCCTCTTGGTATTAAATCGATTCAAACAGCCTGAGGGACTAACAGATATTTCTCTAATTTGATTTGACATTATGATAAACTGATTCTTGATATGCAGAGCTACAGAATCTCACTGTGAGTTAACATGCAAGGTAAATTTAGAACAAACATTATGAAGAAAGTCTGCCCTTCCTTCTCCCCTTTACTTACTTCCTAGACTCCAACCTATACTCTCAGAGCAGCTTCTTTTGTTTGGTGTTTCAGTATTTACCATGTGTTTGATTTGCTAATTCTAGGACAAAAGCACAGGTTTGTGTAGCACCAGCTTTTAAGTATTTCCTAAGGGCAAAACATAAATTTGCAAAACAGGGGCCACAACTAAATCATTGTACTATTTGCTCTTCTCTTGCAAGAACTGTTTCTTCTTAAATTTGTCAGATTTGCCGGACCAAAAATTTTAATTCTCTTCACATTTCCTGGGAGAGCTATAAAGTGAATGAGAAAGAAGGAAAACGATCTCTGCCTACTTTACAAGATGTATTTTAAGGTATATTCAAAAATGTCTTTACATTTAGAGCAGAAGTACTCTGAATATGCAGCCACATGCTGCATGTTCTGGCACCTCCATTAAAACAAAGTAATTACACAGCTCAGCACAGTGTATATGGTCATTTGTGTTTGTCTGAGGTTGTTACCAAGAAGACTTGGGGGTGGTTAGCATTCTGCGGCATCTGAGTTACCTTGTACAAGTCACTACCTGACATCCTTCCAAGAGCCACTCTGCACCCACGGGCTGCTTCCCAGGACATGGGGTGAAGGAGCACTCTGCAGGCTCACAGGGGTAGCTTAGAGTGGGTTGACCAAAAGCTGGGTTTACGTTGTTACCATGAAGACCTGCAGCTCTGAGCTGATATATTGGAAGAAGAGATCATTTGACTGGAATTTACCTCATTCTTCTCTACAGCAAGAGCAGAAGCCAGGGAGGAAAGTATTCTCAGGATCACCACTAGGTGCCTATTCTGGCACCAGTGGCATCAAGTACTGGGGGCACAATGCAAAGACATAAATTAGCTCTAAAGGGAAGCTTTTTTATATTCTGCAGGACTTCTCTGGATATTTTATTCAGCTGGTGGACTGACTATCAGATATCTTTTAATATAAACTTATTGCTAGTGCCAAAGTTTGTCTAATTGCTCTGATTTCCAGAGTAATTTTACAACATAAGGCTTGAAGAGTTGGTGTTTTCTTAATGGACAGTTTGTGGGTCACACATTAAGAAATGCTTTACAGCCAAGTCAAGATTCTTTCCTTTTTTTTTTTAAAGACACATGGCTTTTTGCAAATTCACAAGCTTCTGCCACAGTCTCTCTGATCCAAATCTCCACTACTCCTCCAGTATATTTTCCACCGCCTATCCCTCACTTATCACTATACCCTAAGGCCAAATTATACAAATGAATGTCTCGAATGGACAGTGTTAAGAAATGTTAACTCAAAGTCACATTAAGTTATTCTTGCTTTAAGTTCCCTTACAAACTTGAAGCACAGTCTAAGTTTTTCAAAAGCTTTATGAAGGTACAAGGATCTTCCAAAATAGTTCTAATGCCTAATAAGGCAAAGCCAAAACAATATATGGAATTGTAAAGAGAATTGTGGAAGTCATGACTCTACAGTGATCACTTAGTTCTTAAATTTTTTTCATTGTCTTTAGTTCTGGAAGGGTCTGGTTGAGAATATAGAGGAATTAAAATTTTTCATTTGAACTCCTTAATATATGAAAATTGTCAATTGTCATGGATGAAGTCTTAGGAACCTGATTCACTAGACCTTAATGTTCAAAGGAAAAGAAAGGTCCTGAGCCCAGAAAGATTAAAAGCAAAAATAATCCTAAGCCAGCACCCTCCTGTGAAACTACAGAAGACCAAAGGACATATCACCTTGTCAATATTTGCAGGGCTATGTGTACCCACCTAACTTTGTTGTGCAAATCACCAATATAAATTCACAACCCCTAGCAGCCACACGCATGAAAATAACCATCTACACACATACCTATATATACACATCTGCTCGGAGAGAGAAAAAGAAAAAAAAAAAAAAAGTATCAGGCTGGCAGAACTACCAGGGATTTCAGTACACAGACAGAAACTAAATGTTGTACACAAGTTATAACTGAACCTTGGCTTGTTCAGAGGCACAATGCTGCTGAATCAAGCACTTGTGCTGCCTACTGTAGCCTTCTTATTACCATGTTTTCAAATGTGGTTTTCTTTAAAAGGTAGTTTAACTTCCTGGAAGGACTTTCCATTCCAGCCCTTATTCAGTGAGTAGCCCTACTGAAATCAGCTTGATCTGTATTTGCAAAACTTAGAGCAAGACCATGTTTCAGTATTGAAATTAAGAAATACCTGCACAGAGAACCTGATCCTGCTTGCCTTCTGCATCCAAACAGCTTAGTCAGGAACAATGAAGCCACTAATACAGCAGAGGCGAGAAGTCCTCACCTGAGAAGGATTAGTCACAGAAAAAAAAAAAAGGTTAGAAAATCCATTCCTAATGCCCAAGGTATGAAACTATTGTATAATGTCATCAAGACCAATAAGAGTAGCAATCAAAGACACTTGATATGCTCCAATTCAATTGCAGGTTACTGTTTGCAATTGGCAGTCTGTTATGTAAATCAGGAAAGAAAGCCATAAAAGTCATCTATGACCTTAAATACAGCTGAACCCTATTGAAGTATTATGGGCAGCTGTTTTTCTCACACTCTCTATTAGTAACAGGAAATACATTTCAGGTTACCTCTATTTCTCTTGAGCAATTTGTGTCAATTGCTACCTGTCTACCTTATTGAAACTGCCGCCTCCTTCCACTCTTCAGACCACACAAGTAAATAATGCAAGTACTAACTGGCTACAGGCAAGATATCTTCCAGGATGCAGATGGACTGCCACAGGACTGCACGGGCAGACTTAATATTGAAGTAAATTTTAACAGTTCAGTTGCATGTATCATTCTTGAGGGTCAGTATTACTTTAATATTGCACTCTGGAGTTAATCAGTTAATATCTTGCCTGGTCACAGTCAGCTAGGGATGTTCAATTAACAGCACTGCTGTTACAGTAAAGATAAAAGATGTGTCATTTTTCCAGGATGAAGATCATGAGGTTTTGGGTTGGTGGATTTGTGTTTTCCTTTAATTTCTTGAGACAAACAAATTTGACCCATCCTATAAACACAATAAGTAATAGCAATTCTTTTCGTCATTAGTTCTTCACTGTGATGTTTTCCGGGATATTCCACTTCTCTGCATTAGGGCAATTTTGTTGTTTTTCCAATTCCAAAGCAGAACAATAATGACAGTAGCATCCAAAAAAAGTCTCTTATAATTGCCTAAATTGTATAACACCTTACCAGGATATCAGGAAAACAGCCAAAGAATTTCACATCATAAAACTGGGCATATCATCTGATATAGCAATTTTGAGCACATTTTCAGACTAGCCAGAGTTTACAAGCTTTCCCAACTCCAGTTTAGCCAAAAGTCTTTCATGGACCATCTGGTTCTAATGATACAAAACTAGAATATTTGGTGTCCTTTTCACTATGCTACATTAAATTAAAGCTTAAAACATCAGTAAAGAAAATCCATTCTTTTCATATTATGTTTTTTAAATTAAACATTAAGCTTTTTGGCTAAGTAAATGTGTTTATTTTTGTACAACTGTACAGCATATACTATATGATACAGTCAGCAGAATCCTTAGTTCAGTTTCTCTTGCACACTCCTGGTCCACAGCCCACTGAGGTAAAGGGAAGTGTTTCCATTGACATCAATGGGCTCTAAATGAGGCTCCTACTGTGAGTGACACCACATCTTTACTCATCCTAAAACATGTATGAGGTTTCAATACTTCTCCCAAGAGAAAAGGTTCAAATTATGCTTACAGTAGCTCTTCCCAAATTAAGTAATAAAAGGGCCCAACTGTGCATTCCATGCACACTTGGTAACTCAACTAAAATTCAGTGAAATCAAAATATTAAGGTGTGATAAGAGGTTTTATAGTGGAAAGGCATTGTGAACTATATAGTCTTTGTATGGGCTGTAGATAGCTATAAATAGGCTCTTTGGGTGTAACTTTCACAAGCGCCTGGAAGACTTTATCTTCCAGCAGTTGTTGAAAAGCAATGGAGTTTTGAAAATCCCACCCTACATGTAGCTCATAACTTCTGAAGTCAGCCACAACAGGTTCCAGTTCCCTGCACTTCACCACCAGTCTTAGAAACTTGTTCTGCACATAGAAACATAGACCAAGATTTCAGAAGATATGTAGGAGAAAAGTCCATTTTTAATAACAGAAGTACCTAGCTTCTGTAGGTCCAAAGAGGTCAAACCAATCTGGAGGTCTGAGCAATCGTGACTGTCAACCACCCATTTCCTCAACAAGCTGACACCTTCTACGCATCTAAGGTCAACCAACAGCAAATATTATTTCTTACTTATGAAACCAGTTTATGTTTTACTGTAGCAAGTGGCCATCATCTTTTTCCTGTATGTTTTGTCTTTCTTTGTAGTTCCTACCACTATAACCCTCATTACAAAGTTTCATCGATCTCATAGCAAACTCAATAGTAAATATCCCACTTATTTCACTTAGGTTAACCGAGATACAGGTATTATCCAAAGAGGACATCACAGCCTGTTCTATTCTATACACATCCCTGAATCCAAATATGCTAGTACGGTAAACATAATTTTGTTTCTCCATTCTTTCAGCTTTTTTCTTCTCTCCCTATGGTAGCTTCCACGTTAGTATTACAAAATAGTTAAAACATGTAGTTCCAACACTGAATTCCTTACAAAGCCCCCTAAACAGGAGTTTTTCTGCAGCAAGAAAGGACTGAGAGAGGACTGCATGAATTGGCCCATACGGAGTTACATGCTAACTGTTGTTATTGTTCTCAGAGAGTGCATTTAAGGTTTTGGGAACAAACAATAAAACGAACAGCTGAACAATTTTAATCATGGCCCAGTTCCTAGTTACAATTATTTTTAAGCTGTCTCACCATTAGCTAGACTCTGATTTTTTTTTTCCCCAATGAAAAAATATATTATGTAAAACTTAAAGAAATACTGTTTTAAAATGACAGTAAAGGAAAAAAAGATTCTCAAATGTAACAAACTATGACTTCTGCTCTTAGCCCAGCATTTGTGTATGTTACACATAATTTTTTAAAGTGTTCCATTGTCTATATACTTCATGTACAAGCCAGTTCTCTAGGTAAATATGCTTTCCTAGATAAGGCCTCTGAACTCTATGACTAGACAGAGAATATCAGATTTTGACCCCAGACTCATATGTGAGCAAAACTAGAATGCATGCTCATATGAAAGCACATTTCATGCATTCTGTATTTCAAAATGCTACAGCAGGGACACATCAAATCAGGGTAAGATGACAGCTCACACAAGCAAATGAGAATGGGAGAATAAGATGGCACAAGGATGTGAAGACATTTGGAGAGACTACTGACCAAGAATGTCCTTTTAAGATGCCTTCTACATTCATTCAAGGCCTGATTCAATTACTTCCACTGGAGTCAACAGGAAGACTTGTGGTCTTCAGTGTCTGTTATTGTGGCTCATTACTTGTGTTACAGTAGCACGCTGAAGATTCAATTAAGCTCAAGCACTGTAATACCAGGTGCTATACAAACACCCACAGTGTCATAATCCCTTCTTACCAGAGCTTGCATCAAGCAAGACCTTGAATCACGTAGGGCAAAAAAATATGGCAAACAAAACATGGGAAAGAATCCAAAGGGAGCCCAAGGGATTTAAGCTGGGTTACAAAAACAGTCACTGGCAAAGCAAGGAAGACTTTAGTTGCCTGACTGTACCCAGTGCCCTACCTATTAAACCATTCTGCCTGCTGATGGACTTCAGGTCAAACCTGCACTGCACAATATGAATGATAAGTGAGGGAACAAAATAAAATACCTACCTGCTAAATACAATTAACGGCTGTCGGCGTCACAGTGTTTCTACCTTGTGCAGATTACATGCACTGCAGTAAAACTACTTTGTGTGCAGAAAGCAGGAATTACTAGTGCTCCACTTGCAACTATTGTTTTCAATAAGAATTCTGCAGGAAAATGTCATAAACAGAAACATAGAATCACTCCAGAGGTTACCCATTTCGCCTCCTCCCACACTACGGCAGGCTCGGTTATATCCGTGTCATTCCTAACAGATGTTTGTCTCATCTGTTGATGGATGCTCCAAGCTATCATTAGGCAATCTCTTCCAGCACTTCACCTCCCTTGCCATTAGAACTGTTTTCCTTACTTCTAATCAGAACCTTTCTTGCTACAGTTTATGCTGTTAGTTCTTCTCCTACCGCATCCTCTCTTCAGTCTTTTCTTCTTTAGGTTGATCAAACCAAGCACATTCAAATCTCTCCTTTTAAATCATTTTGTTGACTAGCATTCAGCTTGAGATCCACTGTAACCTTAGTGCTTCTTCTACAGTATTCTTGAGTTGTCTATTCCACGTTTACACAGCTTATTCCTAAGTGCAATAACTTACACTTGGCTGTCACACAGCCCTTGAACTTTATTTCTAAATATAATTTTGAATTCTAATTATTTTCTTTAGTGTATATAGAGTTACTGTCAACTGCAAATTTTATAAGCCTGTTCAACACCATCATGAAGGACACTACCAAAAATCTTGAATACTGGGAGGCCTCAGCAGAGACTCATTCAACACATCAAAGAACTACTGAAAAGTACTATTTAGACAGAGTTAGTAAACCCATTTTGCACCCACTCTACGCTACGTTAATTGAGAATGTTTGCCTTGATTTATTACTGGAATGTCATATAAAGCAGCATCAAAGACCTTACTAAAATTGGGATAGACTTGCTAATTCTTCTGCATCCAGAGCCTGCCGCTCTGTTGAGGATTGGCTAGACACGGCTTGACAACTGACATAATTTATGTCTGACTGTTATTGATATAGTGGGTATTATTCAATTCTTTATCTTCTATATTTTTAAAATTAGGTTGTCATTTGCTCCAGAATTCTGGGGGGAATTTTATTTATATTGATCAGTCTTTTCTTTCTAACTGTTCTTTTTCCTCCTTTCTAAAAATAGTCACTACCTTTTTCCCTTTCCTCACCTATCTTGTCTGAGTTATCAATTACTAATTATTCTGAAACTGTTTTTTTTTTTAATATCTCTAAAGTTGGCATGTAAATTCTAAACAATCTGAAACAATTAACTTAGTTAAATACCATGCAGTTAAAATCTATACCTTAATGAAAGTACACAGGAAAGCATGAAGGCTCATTTTGCAATTTCCTGAGTTCTTTCAGTGTTTTACTTTGTAATGTTAATTGCCCCTTCAATAAAACCTTTCTCCTTTTTTAAACAATTGGAGGAACTGACTGGTTGTTTTTAGCAACATGTGTTACTGCCTAGGAACAAAGCTGGATCA